GAACCTATAAAGAATCTAAAATAGTCAAATTCATCGGAGCAGAGAGTGGACTAGTGGGTGCCAAGGAGCTCGAGAGAGAGGGGAAGAAAGAAGGTATTATTTCAAGGGTATAAAGTTTAAACTATGCAAAATGCATGCATCCTAGAGATCTACTGTATAGCATAATGCCTAAGTTAATATACTGTGTTCAATATCTTTAAAGTGTGCTTTTGCAAATTACTCTCTTCAAGAGGTGGAATCCACTTTTTTACTCCTTGGATCCTGTTTGGGCCTATGTGATTTGCTATGGTCAATGAGACAATAACAAACATGACACAAAGGCTTGAAAAGTGCTCGCAGATTGGGGTTTATCCCTACTTTTGCTTCACCTAGCTGAGCAGCTGTGTGAAAGAGCCTAGGCTAGACTACTAGAAAATCAGAGGCATGATCAAGCCATTCCCATTGCCTTCGCTAGTAGGAGCCAATTACCAGCAGTGTGAGGCTAAATACATTTAGTTTTTGTGTCTCCTTTGTTTCCTCTTTCTTTGACAGTTTCTCCAATATTCCTAGTTTTTTATGACCTTCAAATTTTTGAGGACTACTGGCCAAGTGTTTCATAGAATGTCTCTCATTTGGGATTTGTCTGATATTTTTCTCATGATTAGACTGGGGATATAGATTTTAATGAGGAAAATCACAGAGGTAAGGTGCCATTCTCATCACATCATATCAAGGGTAAATGTTATCTTTACTGATGTTGACCTTGATCATCACTGGGTTGAAGAAGGTATATCAGTTTCCTTCTCTGGAAAGTTACTTTTTTTATCCTCCTTTTCCACTCTGTAGTCTTTGGAAAGAAGAGTTTCTGTGGACAGCCCACATTTAAAGGAGGGGAAAATTACATTCCACTTCCTTGAGAAAAAATGTTTTCATAAATTATTTGAAGTTCATCTACATGGGGAATTTGTCTATTCTTTTGATTAATTTGTTTATTCATTAACTTATTATATAAATATGGGCTTTTGGGTAATTATTTTATTCTTTGGGTTATAACTCATGCTTCTTTATTTTCTTGCTCAAATTTTTTCCAGTTTGGGCCATTGAGAACTTTTTCAGTTGGTTCCTGTGTCCCTTTGATATACCTGCCTCATTGTGTTTGTTTTTTGTTTGTTGCTTTGTTTGTTTTAGTACTTCTTTACTTTCTGTTATTATAAAATATTCTAGGCTGGTCAAGTATACTTCCTGCCCCAGCCCTAGAGTTAGTCCTTCTTCAAATAGCCCTGATCACTTCAATTGGAGAATAGTATTAGAAACCAAGATCTCAGCACTTTTTGTATTGGTTTCTACTATATAGTACATTGCTTCTAGGCCATCTCAGATAACAGAACATGATATATGTGTGTATACCTAGCCACGTATATATATACATATTTATACTTTGTGTATGTAACCATCTGTATCTACATCAAACTAAACATGAGTTCATACTGAAGTCCCCAATGCTAATCCATTTACCACATGGATCATTCTATCCTTCTCTTGCTTATCTGTAACCTCCCACTCCAACAGTGAGAAACTTGGCTCCCACCATCCACCATCCATTGATTTAATTGTTCAATTTCATGTATAGTGGGTTTAGAGTTGCTAATAATAATGTTATTAACTAGAGCATATTACTAAAGTACAGGGTATTTGGTGGGATTTTTGGTATTTTTTTTTTCTTGCTTTGAATTTTGAAGATTCATTTCCATAATTACTTAAGTCATTACCCTTATCCCCCACTGCCCTAAGTGAAGTTGTTTCATACATTTGTAATATAGTTAGATTGTCACATTCTGCTTTTCATTCTGGGATCCTCTAACCTCCTAAATTATTATTATTATTTTTCATTTGTGTACATTGATGTTTACTTTGTGTTATAAAGTTCTATTGGTTTTGATAAATGTGTAATGACATGCATCCACCATTACAATATCATAGAGAGTGTTTTCATCACCCTTAAAAATACCTTCTCTTCATTCACTTATTTAATCATCCCCATGTCCCAACCTCTGGCAATCAGTGATCTGTACAGTTTCTATAGTTTTCCTTTACCAAAAGGTCACTCAAATGGAATCATGCAATATCTAGCCCGTTCAGACTGGCTTCTTTCAATTAGCAATATGCATAAAAGATTCATCCATGTGTATGCATGGCTTGATCATTTCTTTTTATCACTGAATAGTATTGAATTATATGAAATTTACACAGTTTATTTATCCATTCACTATTGAAGGGCATCTTGGTTTTTTCCCATTTTTGATGATTGTTAATAAAGCTCCTATAAACTTTTCTGTGCAGGTATTTTGTATGTGCATACATTTTAAAATCAGGTACATGTCTAGGATTCCAGTTGCTTGACTATATGGCAAGACTATTTAGCTTTGTAAACACAGCCAAACTGTCTTCCACGGTGGTTGTGCCATTTTGCGTTTCTACCAGCAATGAATAAACATTCCTCTTTTCTGTATCCTCGCCAACAATTGATATTGCTTTTACTTTTTGTTTCTATCTGGATCTTAACCATTTTGATATGCACAGTGGTATCTCACCATTGTTTTAATCATCAGTCTGTTTTTAATATAAGGCTGTAGATCACTACACAGGCTATCAATGTTTCATTGCTTTTAATAGCCAGTTTTTAAACATAGGGTTGTATAAGAGTTCTACATTTCTTAGTGAAACACACCCCAGATAATCAATTCATTAAAAAAAAGGAATAAGTAAAACAAAGAAAAAATACAGTCTTGGACTTCTCTTATTTCTTTGATCAGTTTTGCTGGTTCAAATAGCAGCAACAACATAAAATGTGTTCATGACCCATAGCTTAATTACCCTCATTTTCTGAAATAGTAATCAGGTTACTATGCCAGTAGGTCCTATTATGTAATACTTATAAACAAAAGCAATAACCAGAGAAAACCTAAAGAATAAAATACCAAATAATAAAATATTGAAGTGAATATTGAATGTAAGTATCACCAACTAACAAAAACATAAGAACTGTACTTCCAAAATAATTTGTTAAAATAAGAAGATAAAGGTGAGAGAATTTTTTGAATGTAATTAACCTTGATAATATTCCCTTGCAAGTATCTAACCAATTTTTAAACAGATCTCTACAGTAGAAAATAATCTGTTTTTAAAAATAACTAAAACATATAGATGTCTTATATTAAGTGCAGATAATTAAAAACTAAATCTCATATAAAAATGAGAAATGTCCTTTGTTTTCAACTTTTTTTTGGAACTGTCTATAATATCTAAATAGTAACTTACCTCCAGACTAAAGCTTGTTACTCTTATCTTACAATGTTTCATTTTACTCTATGGAGATAGCAGCACCTTAATTACCTTATGAACTGGATATCTAGTGATTGTGTAGATTGAGTATTTTCATGTTTTGAAAATGAGTATTTTCACCTCAGACTGAGTATTTTCAAGTTTCCACAACCAGAGTAGAATACCTCATCTGAAGTGACTGTTTATTTGGGAGGATAATGTACCAGTACAAGAAAATAAAATTTTGGAGTGATATAAAATATCATTCTCCCTCCGACTATCATTGTCAAATGAATTAAAAAAAAAAAAAAAACTAGACTCTAGTTGTATTTAAATTTTGGATAAAATAAAATATTGCACAGAACATTCTAGAACTTAAACAGTTTTTTGTTGTTTATTTGAAATTCAAACTTAACTGGGCATCCTGTCTTTCATTTTGCAAGCCTACTTCTATTCCCTTTAGTTAATTTAATTTGAGGAAGATGGCATTGAGGCAGCAAAAGAGAAATAAAATAGATCACTGGGGAAGATGCTAATACTGTACAGAAAGAAAAATAGGATAAAATATTTGAAGACTATTTACTTCTTTTTAAGGTAACCATTATATTGATGGACCAGGGTTTTCATTTAACTTTTAATGCCTTTTGTTCATGTTTTCTTACTTTTTCACGTTTTCACAGATGTATCTACCAACATTTTCTAGAGGTTTCATCTTACCTTTCCTGTCTCTTCTTAAACCTGTTTTTTCCTATAAGCAGTGGTGCTTAATACATAATAATAATAAATTAAGAATTGTTTTGTTGTTTTTGCAGTTAATTACTAGTATTTCAACAAAAAGAAGCTTTTATATATCTTCCAAAGGCATTCAGGTACATGCAAATATGTTAGTTATTCATTTAAACCTAAAACATGCAGTTATAACTGAAATAATAATCTAAATTGAGGATTACCTCTTTGTTTTTAAAGAAGACTCATCCATCATACATAATTGAAGTTACATACATAGTACTTAATAAAACAACATAACTATTGAGTTAAATCAACCTATAAATGTTACATGTATAAACATTTACATCATCACTACAATTTAATTTCTAGACATTCTTAAAAACTTGTGGCATATTAATTTTTAGCATTATGATAGTATGATTCCAAAGAACATAAACTACTTTTTCAGAACAAAAGATATCATTTTAGATCCAAGATATAGAACAATAAGATTGATCAAAACAAAGTTAGAGAAGCTGAGACAACCAAACAAATTCATTGTGTTGGCGATGCCTTTAAATGATTGTGTGTGTGTGTGAGTATAGTAAATCCAACATGATTCTGTCTTTATATGGTAAAATTTAGCATTGTAGTGAGACATTTTTATAATTACTTGCTGTAAATGATATATATATATATATATATATTACTAAATCTTCTAAAGGCTAATAATAGCTTACATTGTAAATGAAAGCCAATGAGGTGGGATGGATACGCATTTTATTAATGTTCATACAGTATTTTCCTAGGTACCTTATTATATTGAATTGCTTATGACTTTTTGCAATGTTAACAAAGGTTTAAGAATTGTTTTTCTTTCTTTTTTTGAAAAGTATAACTTCTGATATAAATTTAAATGAACACCTGAGGATATTATGTAATGAAGACTTTAATATATTTTTGTTATTTTATATGTACAGCAAGATTCTTACCTGAAAGACACCCAGCTACTGACAGCAACAGAATTAATTTCCAAGAGGAAGCCATCCTTGGTTATTAGGATATCTCGTGTCTCAGTGTGTTTAGCAGTTTCTCATTAAAGAATGTCCTGTTGAAATAAATAACAGTTTTCAAAAACTGAAAAAACAAAAAAGTAGACAAACACAAACCAACTCAAAAATATCACAGTAAAATGATAAATACCTTTTATTGCAAAGGTCAGATTATATATACTTGGATATTGACATCAATAATAAAATTCCATTAAAATTAATCTAATGCACAACACAAAAACTTCAGAGAAGTGATAAACTTTCATTAACACATTTATTTATATTGAATACTCCCTTACAGAAAATAAAAACATCAGGTTCTAATGGGGATGATTTTTCCTCACAGGGAATGTAGAATAGCTATATATATATATATATATATATATATATATATATATATATATATATATTTATTTATTTATTTATTTTTTAAAGATTTTATTTATTTATTTGAGAGAGAGAATGAGAGAGAGATAGAGCACATGAGAGGGGGGAGGGTCAGAGGGAGAAGCAGACTCCCTGCCGAGCAGGGAGCCCGACGCGGGACTCGATCCCGGGACTCCAGGATCATGACCTGAGCCGAAGGCAGTCGCTCAACCAACTGAGCCACCCAGGCGCCCAAGAATAGCCGTATTTATTACATTAGACAAATTATTGGACTAGAAAAATAGGGTAGAAAAACCAGTTACATTAATATATACTCCTCTGGTCTAGAACATAACTAATGATCAGTTAGCCAAGTGATTTTACACATGTGCCTGTAGCTCATCTAAACCCCCACAGGAAATTTCCTCACTTAATTATTAATGTCAACTGCCTTTGTTTATAACTCCTGTGATTATCTGCACTGTGTTATATTTCCCTCCTTTGATATTTCTCTCAGCATCTTTTGCTAGCCAGAATCTGAAGGAAATATTTTTTGTGAATATTTAACATTTTTGTCTAATGGCATTTTTATAACAATGATGAGTGTAGCACATAATTATTGTTTGGTTCCATTATTTGTCCTGAAAGATATGATAAACATAAAAAGTATAAAATTCTAGCATGAAATTTCCTGCAAGGACTTGACAAAAGTGCATTAGAAATTCCTATAATAGACAAGTAACTTCTGAGTTTTCAAGTGTCAGTTAGTGGTGTACTTCTTAGCCCAAAGTGATTAAATTGGGAAATAATTGTACAGTGTGTTAATAATTTTTAAATAACAATTGCTTCTTGGCAACTGTTTCCATCCTATAGACTTAGAAGTTCAGATTATCTCTACATTTTAGAAAAATTCTTAAATATATAGGCAAGCATGTCCCCACCCCCCCACCCCCAGCTAGATAATAATTTGATATAGTCATACCCAAACAGGGAAATCTATTAGCGAATCTACCTGAATAACGTTAGTCTCATTTCATTTATATTTTTAAGTCTAAGCCTTGGTAATCTATTTGAATTACATGGTTAGAAATCACAAGTGGAGAAGAAAGTTAATAACAACTAATAATGGCTGATTTATAGCCATCTACTTCAAGAAAAGAGACTTTTCATTCTTTGTTCTAAGAAATATCAAAAACAAAGACAATTTGAAGCACAAAAAATACCTTATCACTAATTTTTACAATTTAAGACATTTTCATTATTTATATACTGTTTATTTTGCCAGAAAGGAAAAGAAGAAAATTAGCACTTCCCACACAAACATTAGAGTTGCTAGAACTACAATTATGATTCATGAGAACTGCACATTTGAATTAGTGAATTTTCAACCCATGTTGAAATGGACTTTTCTCAGATTGTGAAATCTGAGACATTGATACCGTTTTGCTTCACTTGTTTTGATGAGCTTTTGTTCAGTCCATGTCCCCCAAACTGGTATTTTCCTTCTCTATTTGCAATGTCCTCTGTTGTGTTAACCATTCTTCATCAACAAATGCAAATGTTTTCAGAGCACTTACATGCTATACGTTGGGAAAGTCAAAGAGAAAACACACACACGTGCACACACATGCACACACATATACACAGAAGTTTATCACAGGCTATGAATCAAATAAGTGGGATACTGTAAATATACTACTAATATAGAGCTATCAAAAGGGAGAATCTATTCATAAAACTGGCAAAAGTTGGGGATAAAACGGAGGGCTCTTCAGTAAAATTTCAAGAAGATATTGATCTTGGACAAATATCTTGTTGAATGGGACAATGCAGGGAGATTAACAATGAGCACATGAATAAATAAATCAATATCAGAGACTGATCCATACTATGATAGAATTAACACAGAGTAAAGAGACAGAGGATAGACGGGGCTACTTTAGTAGGGGTTCACAGAAGCGATTTCTGATAAGATGACAGTTGAGTATTCCTGTTTTCAACATGTCATTATGGAATAATCCTTATGTATATAACCCAGGTACATTTGTTTTTTCAATTCTCAAAAAAAAAAATGGTACACTGAATTTTATTACTAAAAGAAACTAAAAATCTCTTCAAATAAAAAAACAGCCTGTGTGTGCGTGTGTGTGTGTTCATTTTCCAGCATTAATGGTTGCTTAATGGGGCTAAAACACAAACAATCATAGATCATTAAAAGCCATTCTTTTAAGACATCTAAAGATTTTTTTTCCTTTCCTTCTTTTTTATTATCTCTCTCAATTTTTTTTCTCAAGTAAAAAGTAAAAGAAATTATCTTTAGGTTCTGAAATATGTAAACTTTTTATTTATTTATTTATTTATTTATTTATTTATTTATTTTTTATATGTAAACTTTTTAAATAGTAAGCAAACAAACAAAGTACCAACAATATCCTTAATAACACAGATATTAAGAAAATGTTTTCTTTTCTTTATTGTTTTAATTCAACTATAGTTAACATGCAGTGTTATCTTAGTTTCTGGTGTACAATGTAGTGATTCAACAATTCTGTACATTATTCAGTGCTCATCATGGTAAGTGTACTCTTTAATCCCCATCACCTATTTCACCCATTCTTCGACCCACCTCCTCTCTAGTAGCCATCAGTTTGTTCTCTATAATTAAGAGTCTGTTTACTGGTTTCTCTCTCTTTTTTTTCCTTTGCTCATTTGTTTCTTAAATTCCACATATGAGTGAAATCGCATGGTATTTGTCTTTCACTGACTGACTTACTTTGCTTAGCACTATACTTTCTATCTCCATCCATGTTGCTGCAAATGGAAAGATTTCATTCTTTTTTTTTTCTCAAAGATTTTATTTATTTATTTGAGAGAGAGAGAATGAGAGAGAGCACATGAGAGAGGGGAGGGTCAGAGGGAGAAGCAGACTCCCTGCCGAGCAGGAAGCCCTATGCGGGACTCGATCCCAGGACTCCAGGATCATGACCTGAGCCGAAGGCAGTCGCTTAACCAACTGAGCCACCCAGGCGCCCGATTTCATTCTTTTTTATAGCTGAATGATATCCCATTATATATACATATATACCGCTTCTTCTTTATCCATTATTGATAGACACTTGGGCTGCTTCCATAATTTGGCTGTAGCAAATAGTGCTGTGATAAACATAGCAGTGCATATATTGTTTTGTTAGTGGTTTGTATTCTTTGGAAAGATACCCAATACTGTGATTACTGGATCATATGGTAGTTTAGTTCTATTCTTATCTTTTTGAGGAACTTCCATATTGTCTTCCGTAGTGGCTGCAGTATGCATTCCCACCAATAGCACAAGAGGGTTCCTTTTCCCACATCCTTGCCAAGACTTGCTGTTTCTTATGTTGTTGATTTTAGCCATTCTGACAGGTGTGAGGTGACATCTCACTGTAGTTTTGATTTGGATTTCTTTGATGATGAGTGTTGTTGAGCATCTTTTCATGTGTCTGTTGGCCATCTGTATGTCTTCTTTGGAGAAATGTCCATTCATGTCGTCTGCTGATTTTAATTAGATTATTTGTTTTCTGGGGTGTTGAGTTGCATAAGTTCTTTATATATTTTGGATGCTAACCCTTTATCAGATATGTCATTTGCAAATATCTTCATCCTGTAGGTTGCCTTTTAGTTTTGTTGATGAAATATTTTAACTTTTTTATATGCCTCTCTTGAAAACACAATTATTCTCATGACTTTAATAAAATGCTTGTATCAAAATAATAAAATAATGTAATTATGCAGACATACAGTATATTAGGTTCCTGCTACATGCCAGGTTAAATTATAATCAGTTAATAAATTTTACTAAAGAACACCAAGATGTAATTTTAGAAATACCTTAATGGAGACTGGCAGCTGTACAAAAAACTGTTGTTCATCAAAAGATTGAAAATCCATAAATACTAATTGGGAAACCACTAATCAGATACAGTTTTTTAAAACCTCACATTTTAAAAGAGTTTATTTCAATGTTTAGAATATAATTATCACTGTTAAATGATAGTGATAATTAGTGATACTATTATCACCTGTGATAGTTAAAGAACAATGTATAAAATGGCATCAAATTACTTTGCAAATTTTTACTTGAATTATTGTAAATATTTACAAGTAAAGGAAAATAAGTAGGTATTTGTATTATCATAAATTTTAAATAATAAATACATTGTGCAGTTGAATGTGTAGCTAAGTACTTAAAAGCATCACATCTTTATTGGAATTCTAAATAGAAATGCTGAATATGTGTTATGTAAAATCAATTAAAGGATGCTATGTTGCTATTTGAATAAAAGTTAGTTTTTTTAAAAAAAAGATGCATATATTAAACTGCCTTGTGAATGATACTTAGATGTGAGTGTGTAGAGAGAGCGATTTCTATTATTTCCTGTTGATCTCTCTTTCTAGTTCTCTAGCAATGATTTTCTACAGTTTGACTCGTTATAAGCTATTTTAACATAATTATAACATAATTATATTTTGAATATATTATATATAACATAATTATATTTTGAAACATAAATCAGGCTATATCATTTCCCTGTTTCAGTGGTTTATTCTTAAGATCTAAATTCCTTATATAGTCTGCAAAATGACATATATAGTCTAGTCCTTGCCTAGCTTTCTGACTTCATCTTCTAGCACTCTAGACTCCATTCCCACA